AAACAAAGGATAATGGTGAAGTCTTTTACAGATAAGGCCAAGTTCCTCTTTATGCTCTCAAGAGGGAGGGATTCATTTGACACAAACTAAGAACAATGTTGACTCCTAGGGAATGTCCCAGTGTCACAAGGTGACCTTTAGCTTGTATTAAGCTTCCCTCATTTCTGATACAGCATTTGGTCTACTATTATTAAATTTGATATTTGGCTTCCCTCAATTTATGCTTAAGTCCCCTCCAGCAGGTTTTTAAAGGCAGTAAAATCGCACAGGAGGAGATTGCCCATCTTTATCCAGTGGAGTAGCTGGTAGATTCTAGCCTTTGGGTTGGCAAGGCAGTTTGTTACCACGAGGCCACAAGAGGTCCTTAATACTGTGCTAGGTGCTGGGAACATCAAGAGGGAAATACTGTGCTGGCCTCCACAGTGTTCACTGTCTAGTGGAAATCAGACATGTTCCTCTACCTTCAAACACGCTGGCACTCGGAAGCGTTAAGTTCAGTAGTGGACATTATCAGGAGTCAGGCTTCATTTTACCCTATTCAACCTGTACCCCCACTGGGCTGCCTCAGGTGGGGTTGTTCCCTCTTGGTTACTGAGATGCCAAAGACTGGTGCCTGAGGATGATGCAAGAGTAATCTTCATTGGATAAGAAGTCATGTAACGTCGGTCTGTGCATAGAAGTAGTACTCTGACAAATCCACCAGATGCTCTGCTGGAGAAGGAAGGGAAATCTCCTCCTGTACCAGTCAGATCTGATTTGATGGTACACACACACAAAATAATAATAAAAAAAGAAATAGTACTCTAAGCATCCACAGATGTTTTTAACAAGCATAGTATGTGAAACTGCTTCAGTCTTTCTGATGCCAGCAATTAGCAAGGATTGGTTTTCTAGAGATTTATGTTGTTGTTATATGCTGTCAGCTAGCCCGCGACTCATAGCAACCCTAAACCCTCCTCTGTTCTGTGTCAATTTTATTGTCTCTGACACACCTATCCTCATTACCCCAGTTGCTGAATCAATACATCTCATTGAGGGTTGTCTTCTCTTGCACTGTCCCTTCACCCTCCCAAGCCTGACCTCTTCTCCAAGGACTGGTCCCTCCTTGCAACATGCCTAGAGTATGTCAGATAAAGCGTCAGAATCCTTGCCTCCAGGGAGCAGCTTGGTTTCACACTCTCTAGGACAAACCTTCGACCATCAAGTGTTCTGGGATTCCCATTCTTCTCAGAGTCAGCCACAGTTTGTTATGATCTACACAGTCAAATGCCTTTGCATAGTCAATGAAGCACAGAT